AGTAACGAATCACAAGAAAGATCATTCAGAAAACGCATGGGCCCAAGTGCAAACTTACTTGGCTTGCTGGCTTGTCTCACACACTCAGTGTTTGATCACCTGGTGGGACTAACTACCATCAACTTAAAAAAAAAAAAAAAACCCTGCAAATAGTAAAAGTGTATGTTGGCTCAGGTATAACGTTCACCTGTCTATTCAGCAGATGCCTTTCTTGAAGTTATTTTCTTTAGAAAACAAACTTCTACCTGCTTGACAGCTTTATATACTCTAGATTCAAAAAAACACATTTAAAAAGAAAAAAAGGCCAGTATTGCTGGTATAGCAAAAATGGCATTTATTATGACTGAAATCTAGAAAAGAAGTGTGATATCTAACAGGATAAGGAGGAAAGGAAAAGCCCTTAGCAAAAAAAAAAAAAAAAAAAAAAAAAAAAAAATTAAAAACAAAACAAAACAAATATACCACCTGTGTAAATCTAACCATGCTCTGGAAACCCTTTCTCAGTCCTGGAGAAACAGCTCATACTGAATGCCTTGAAGTTGCAATTAAATTGTAGTAATTTAAGATTATCGGAGAGCAAAGGGCAGTGGGAGCTCTTTGGAGGGTTCTCCTCCCCACTTAATGCTCTTCAGTCAGGGGTTAAATGAGTTTCTTTAACGTAAGTACCTTAAAGTAACTGAATCATAAACAAAATTTATACTATTTTCTGACAGCCTGCAATCTACTTAAGTTTTATTAATGTCTATCTAAAATTATTTTTAAAGGACAAAATTCTTGCTATACCCTTTAAATATTCTTGGCATTCCTACTGAAATATGATAGGTTCTATAACACCTAACCTTGTCTAAATATACATACTTTTTGAGATGCGGAATCTTAGAAGATAGCGTTTCAAAATTGAGTTTGAGTCATAAGTAAAACATGAAAACCAAATAAATATGCACAATAAGATTGGCTGCAAAGAGGAAGCTGGGTTCAAAAGAAGTTGTCACATCTGCTATATTCCTTCTCTTTCTTAATTTTGGCATTGGACTTGCTGTGATATAAATATATTTGAAAAATATCACAATTCTTCTGTTAATTTAAACAACTGCTGAAAACAGACATACCCTTCGACAGAACCTAAGATGCAAATCTACAAGGCCAGGGGTATAGTCTTTAAAAAGGAAAAAAAAAAAAAAAAAAAAAAAAGCCTCAGTAACAGCAAACCATGCCTCAATACTAACTCAGTTAACTGTTGCTATTGTACGTACAAATGATTTAACTAGAAAATATTTATAGCTTTTTCAAAACATTACATACTGCAGAAAATTGCCTAATAGCATCCATGTGTATGTTAAACTCACATTGCTTAATTATACAATAAAGGTATATCCAGTAAAAACTAGACTTTGAAACATTTTGTGCACCATGGTTATGAAACTCTGGCTTATAAAAAATATATAAACTGCTTACTATGTGACCGACACTTGTTAATTAAAAATATAATCCTTAAATGACAAGTATTTTTATTCTTCTGTGTGTGTTTACTTATCCTACTTCCTACTTTGTTCTACTTAATTTAAAATGGCATTTAATTTGGGGATAGTTCAGTCCAGAAAAAAAAAAAAAAAAAGAGTGTTACACAGTTTATACTGCAGGATTTAAATATAAACACAAAACCTTACAGACATCTCCAGCAATATAAACCCCTTATTTGAGACAGTTAATTTGAATAGTTGATGTTTCTTTCATTATACTTTGATAAACCTGTGAAAACAAAATGCTACAGTAATTACTGTTACTACTCCCTTTAAAAATGTAAAGCAGTTAAATTTTCCTAGACAACAAGCAAGGACAAGTTACAGAGAACTTGAATAAAAGTAGCAACGTGGTCATGTTGAATGTCAATCTAAAAAAAGAGGTTATGTCTAATCTGGAGAGTGCTCTCTCTCGCCTTTTTAAATTCCAAGAGTGGGCTGACACAAAACTTCATCACCAGGGATTTTTTTTTTTTTTTTTTTTTTTTGGGCTTCACATCAGATTTAAACCTTCACATACAAAACCTTGGCTTCCCTGACAAGGCAGATCTTCTAAACTCGATGTGAGAAAACGTTATCTAACTCTAGTGTAGGAGTCTAATGTTGGTAAAAAGAATTCCACTGCACAGTTCTTGGTAGCAAGACAGCCTCTGGACGACTTAATATTCCTTTAATACATTTTTGGGTGGCATTCTCCTCTTAAAGATGGATGCATTAAAAAAAATAATTTGTTTAGCGACTCGGCATCCATAAGGAACTCAAATGCTGCCCAGAGAGGGGCTGAGTATTTCCTTCCAAGTGAGCCTTCGCTTGCACAACAAAGATTAGCATTTGCAATGGTCCATTTCTGCATAAGTGAACATACAGCCTTGCTGCTTGATCGAATAGTCCAGGGTTCTCCGTGCAGCAGCTCCTGACAACCACCCAGCAGCAGTTCTGTTTGATCTCTCCTGCTTCCTTAATTTGGGTTGTCAAGGTTCAGCAGTTGGAGGCTGTTTACTTTACTTTTCCAAAAAAAAAAAATGATTTTTTTTTCCTCCCTCTCTCTCATACAATGACTAATCCAAAGTCTAAGGGGGGTGGGGGATGCAGCCAGTGGCAAGATGTTCAACCTTTTTTTTCTCCCTCTCTGCTGTGAGATTTTAGCTGACACCTTTTGAATGGTAACTAGTTGAGTTCCTTTTTTATATTTTTCTTGCTCTTTAATTGTGAGACGTTTCAAATAGAGAGTGGGAAAAAAAAAATTTCAAATTTCTGAAACTGTGAGCCCAGTTTTCTTTTCCTGGACCCAAAGGGATGGGTATTTCCACTTTGAGAATCAAAACTCCAGTGGAATTCTAAAAAAGATTTGATACATTTCTCTCTGGAACAGAAAAATAGCAGGAACTCCTCTGTCTCAATTATGTAGGCTATCCCTGGGTAGAAAACACCTGAAGTCTTACTATTTCTTTTCAAATTCTAGTTTACACATCTCCCTCCAAATTGATTCTCGCTGTGGAAAAACGGGGGTGGGGGAAAGGGGATGGAGTGGAAAAATTTTGCAGCGATTCTTCAATATATTTTCAGTAGTAGTAAAATTCCTTTAAATATCCTTGAGGTCTTCTCAACTCAGCTATTGTCCAAGTCCTAAACCCTCAAGTCTACGTACGACCAGTGGTGAAGTGTAGTCGATTTGAATGTACAGACGCCTTTCAAAGGGAATCCAGAATGCTCCTCCGGCATTCCTGTTTAAAGAGCAGTAACAAAAAGAAAATGCTAACTTGGAAAATACCTGTGAGCAGACATGAGCGCAATCCCAGACCCTCAGAAGTGGACTGGAGAAGGTCAAACGCAACCAGATGAAATGTTTATATTAATTTCATTATTCTGCCCAAGCCTCACAGATGAGGGCTTGGGGGGTGGGGACGTAGGGAAGAGGAAGAAATAAGTTTCATTTTGGGTCTTTTGGTCGAGCAAAAAGAAAATGAATTAAGACAGAAGCATAGGATGAACCCAGACTAAATCAATACACTTTGTAATCAGCCCAGTAAGGGTATTTGGACACAATGACTTGGAAATAATTAATAGTTATAAGAGGCGAGTGGGGTGAGAAGGGGGGCGAGGATGTCACCATATTTTATCGGAGCACTTTACACTCCACGCTAAACTTTGATCTCCAGATTTTTGGCTTTAGGAAAGAAAGAGAGAAAAAAAGGGGAGGGGGAAAGTCCAGTATTTCGAAGCACCTACCGGCCTGAGGATGGGCACATTCCTCGCTCCCAGTGCCTTATCGCTAGGCTCGCGCCGCCCCGGCTGGCTGTTTGGGGACGGAGAACCCACGGCGCTGCCCTGGGCTCTCTGGTATCCCTGGCCCCCGCGCCCGCGGCCGCCTCGACTTACCCGCGGAGTCCGGGGAGGGAGTGGGAGCGCCGCCTTCACGCCCGCGGAGGAGGCGCCGGCAGCACCATGGTCCCCGGTGCCGCTGCCGCTGCCGCTGCCGCTGCCCCCGGCCCGCTCGCTCGCCGCGCGCTCTCTTCCTCTTGCAAACTTTCGGGTTCTGCGGTCGACAAGAAACCGGGGCGACCCTCAGCAAGTCTTCCCCGTTCAGGCTGGGGGCAACTGAAGGGGACGGGACGGGTGAGTAGGCCGAGGGGCCAGGACAGAGAGGGCAGCGGGCTCCGAGGACCCGCGAGTGCGCGTGGAGGGAAGAGAGGATGCGGCTCAGGGAATCCCTGCAAGGATCTCGAGACCGGGAAATCGGCCCGAGCCAAAGTCTCAGCACCTTCCCCAGGATCTCACAAAGTTGCAACAACAAAAAGGAGGGGGGAGGAATAGGGGGAAGGGGGTGGGATGGGGATACGATCGCGGGCGCAAGGTTTGGAGTTACAACTGTTTATTTAGTCCTTATTCTCACAGGGGGCGGGAGCTGCGCGGGAATGGTGGGGGCTGCAGGCAGCAATTTCGAAGCAAACACTTGGGAGGGGGCATGCGACTTTGTTTCTGGGCGCGGAGCTCCCCGGCGCCCGCGTGTGTCACTGCCAGTCTCCCGGGACCAAGGCGGAGCTCACAACAGGTGGGGAGGGGGCTCGTCCAGGGCCAAAAAGGAGAAGGAATCTAAGTTTCCGAGCGCGACGTTGTCTGAATAGGAGGGAGGCGGGAGGCGGGGGCGAGGGGAGGCGGAGGCAGCAAATGACCGCGACCCCGCGGCAACTGGCAAACTCCTCGGCACCCGGCGCCGCCGCCACCACCGCCGTGGTCCCCACCCGAAGCGCACACCGCCTGGGCTCGCTGGCTCCGGGGAGTCGTCTCGGCGGGACAGGAATAGAGCGCGGGGAGCTCGAGAGGAAGGCAAAGCGCAAGCGAGGGACAGAGAGCCATCCGCCGCCAGGACTGGGCTGGAGGGACGAGGCGACACGCGCCCGTCGCAGGACAGATCGGAGCTTGGGAAATCCCCCCCGTTCCCAATCTTCAGAGGGGGATAAAATCAGAAAATGTGTGTGATGGAAAGAGAGGGATCCGGCGCGGCGACTACTCGCAGCGAATCCGGCTCCCGCACCCACCCGTGGATCTGGCCATGGCTGTTGCGGACGCGTCTCGGGAAAGCGGGGACAGAGCGCGCATGGGGGTTCGTGTCTGGCTGGGGGTGCGCAGGTGCGTGTTTGAATTTTCCGGGCTCCGAGGGGGTGGCGGGAGAGCTTCCTCGCCACTGACTCTCAGGGCAATGCGCGCGTGGCAGCGGGGAAGTTCCCCAGTGCGGGGCCCAGGGCCAGACGCCACAGTCAGTCTGCTGGGGCCCGCGGGGCAGCTCAAGGGCACCGAGGGGGCACACACCCGCGGAGAAGGAAGGGGAAAAGTTTGCTCCAAGTCTAAACTTTGGGCCTAGGAGGCGCCGGGCATGGGCCCCCTCCCGCCACGGCCAGGACCCGGGACCCCACACCGGCCCCACTCCCGGGCGGCCACCGGACGCCAACGCCGGGCATCGAAAGTTGCGCCGTGCGGCCTGGACTTATTGATTTCTCTCCCCCAGGCGATCGTGGAGAGCGCTGAAAGAGGCGTGAAGGGGCCTAGGGGGAGGCGATCCTGCCTCCTCGCAGTCGCCCCCGCCCCCATTTGACTTATGCAAATAAACCCAAAGGGTGCGGGCGCCGCCGGAGCTCCCTCCACCCGCGCGCCGGCCCGCAGCCCCCACCCATCCCAGAGCTGGGCCCCGACCCGGGGGGGAGAGGAAGAAAGGGGAGGGCTGGGGGAGATGCACGTGGAGCCTGGAGGTGGAAAGTAGTTTTTTTTTTTTTTCCATTTTTTTCTTTTTCTTTCTTTCTTTTTTTTTTTTTTTTGTGCTGGTTGTTGTTGTTGTTTAAAGTGGCGGAAACAAGACAGGAGGCGGCTTGGGAAAAAGTGGAGCAGAAATGGAAAAATACAAACTCACCCGCTGCAAATGGTCTCTCGGTGCAAACTAAGGTGTTTTCGGGCCTTTCCCCGCGCGCGCCCACTCCCGCCCGCGCGCGCACCCCAGGCACACACTCACTCGCGCACACACGCGCGCACACACGCACTCCCGGGCGAGGGCCGGGCCGCCGCGAGTACAGCGTGCAACCGCCACACAATAAATAACAATAGATTCCTCCGCTCCGGACTAGCTTCCCGGAGCCCAGCCAGCGCCGGTGGCGGCGGCGGCAGAGGCGCGGGTAGCACCGGCTGGGGGCGCCCCCCAGCCCGACCCCCGGCCTCCCGCTGGGGTTCCCCTCTCCGCCTCACGCACCCCGCCGGACGCCCCAGCGGTCCCCCCCGAGCGCGAGCGGTTCCCTCTTTGCCGTTGGCCGGGGCGCTGGCGCCCACCCCCTCCCCCCGCTACATCCCGGAACAAATAAATAAATAAGGCGCGCGAGAGAGGCCAACACGTCGCGGAGGGAGATGTTGTTATTTTTTGCTGTTGTGCGTCCCTGACGTCACATCCACCTGCTGGGTAAACAACCGGGCTCCCAGAAAAAAAAAATCGCAATTGCCAAAGAATGGGGCGGGGGGACTGGGGGGTGGGATCCAGGGAGGGGGAAGAGAGGGGCGTCCAGGCTGGATTGGGAGGAGGAGAGGGAGGCAGAGACCCGCGGACCAGAGAGAGGAAGGGAACGCCTGAGCAGTCCCTGGCAACAGAGGGATCTGGCAGGAAAGACCTGGAAAATAAGGGGCTTGGGGGCGGGACGGGGGGATTCCTCAGGAGATGGGAAAAGGGGGGCCCATTCAGACAGCGGAAAAAACGAGAAGGGAGAGTGTTAACAACTAGGGACGAAGATGGGAATGCTGCGATGGCTATTTGCTTGGATTCCGAGCTAAAAATATGAAAGGGAGGGGAGAGGACAGGCTAGGATGTGAGTTTCCTCCAGTTAAAAGTGAAAGTGTTTTGCCATCAGTGACAGTTGAAGGAGAGGGAGGTGGGAGGTGGTGTTTTCGACCCCCTTTCTCCTTCTCTCCCGTCCTCCCTCGGTCTCTCCTCTTTCTTTCTGCACTTTGTCCAATGAAAGAAGGCGAGTTCGGAAGGTGAAAGTTCAGCCGAAGGACAAACCTCTGTTTGCAAGGAAACAGAAACCCCGCCAGCCAGCGAGGGGTTTGCTCCCTGTTTCTCGGAATCAGGAGAGTGTGAATGTGGGACGAGCTTCTGCCCCCTTCCTCGTCAGAGTCACTGCAGGAATGTGCAGTCGAGTCCACTTTGGGGGAAAGTGGCTGCATCAGGAACTGTGTTCTTGCCATGGCTCCTCTTAGGAAAACGCCTGGGGGCTAGCATGTCAGTCCGTTGTTTAACACAAATTACCTCCTCTCCCAGTGATCAGTCACGTGCAAAAAGCTTTGTCCAATTCTTTGAAAAGGTGAGATTTTTTTTTTTTTTCTTTTTGCGGTTTTGAAGTTTGGTTGAATTTAGAAATTCGAAGGAATAAATTAGGATCCTGAATGAAATGTTTTGAAATATATATATATATAACAAAAGACCCTAGTATTTCTTTCACTTTTATCAATACGAATAGAGAGAAGGAAGCGGAGTATTTGTTTCCAAAACGTGACTTGGAAAGCTGTAAGACCTCTACGTCTTTTTGTTGTTGCTAACAGAAATAAATTTTTTCACACCCATCACCTCAGAAGAGGCCAGACTCCCAAACCAGTATTTCCAGCTACTGGCTGGATGGTGTACACCAGGCCAGTTCTTCATGAGAATATATTAAAAGTCACCCCTGTGGATTCCTACAAAGTACTTCCTGTTGTGGGGAGGGGAGAGGCTTACTGTCCCTTTGGTCTTGAGACCAGCACAGTTGTAGATAATATCCTGAAAAGGTGATTATAAGTTCTTTTGGATAATGCCCCTTTACAAATATTGTTAAACATTCATTTACAGAAGAATTTAAATCTCAATTTCAAAGGTAGCATAAGACTATCACTTTAAAACTGTATCTGTTTTCGCAAGTTTTGAAAAAAATAACAAAGCCATTCGCTGATGCTACAGAATACAGCCAGAGAAAGGGAGGCTGCTAAGGTAGTTCCAGCCTGGGAGAATTCACATTGCATGCATGCTGCACAAAGTTCCATGCTATCCAGACGAGACTGTTCACTGAATCTTTGAGACTAGAATCTAGACAAATAAAAGGCATTTTAGCTCGTATAGAATGTCCAAGCTTCCTAGAGACTAGGGTTCAATGTCTTGTTTGTCAAGACATAAAGACATTAATGACATACCTATTGTGTTCTAGACCACAGAGTGGGCACAGAGGGAATAAAAAATAAATAAAATTCCTGCCCTTGAGGAGCTCGCAGTCTACAGCTGTCAGTAATAACATCTAACATTTATTAAATGCTTACTAAGACCTAGGCACTGATCTAAAAGCTTTATGTCAACTCAGTTAATACTGCCAACAACCTTTGACATCACTGGAAATTCCATATGCTGAATTCACATGGAATTAAATGGGAATCTACAAAGTAACCAGTCTCCTGGGTCTGTAGTAGTCAACCTATTAAAAATGTTTTTTAATTTCTAAAGTATTTTATGTTTGCGGTATATGCCTGATTGCAGAATTATAACTCAGAGGAATAACAAGTTATTTAAATGTGGACAGATCTATTCATAGTCTGTAAAGAACAGTTCATCCTCTGATCTTGTTTTTTAGATTAAGCAGTGTGTTTATTAAAAATTATTATCATTGCCATACTAAAAAGATCTTTACATTGTCGCTAATCTTATTCTGCATTTTAACTGCCTTAAATTCTACATTCACTTGCAAGGAGGGGCCAAAGTCAGGTTAGCAACAAGTTTTGCGGACAAAAGGAAATCCTGGTTGTAAATCCCATGATATATTGTACTCAGTTTTGTATATGATACTGTCTAATGTGCTGCCTTATTAAAGAACTCGATGTCCATTTGGTTTACATTAGAAGGAAATTTAACTGCAGCTTAACATATTGTTCATTTTCAACACTGTCATGTTACATTCGTGGGGAGCAGATTTTAATTTCTTTATCAGTAATCAACTGGAAGTTTCTTTTTGTTAAAGCAAGAAGGGTTTTTAAATAAAGGGCATGGGGGTAGGACGCCACCTTTTGGTGATAAAACAAATAGAAATCCCTTTTGAAAACAGATGTTCCTGACATAATTTTATTTTTAATTACACCAAGGCAAAGGTGCTTGTCCCCATTTTGTTATATTTTAAGTAACAGGAGAAAAAAAAAACAATGTAAATGCAAAACTAGCAAATTATAGTTAACTGCAGCCAAACTTTTCCCAAAGATACCAGAATATGTTAGTGACCTGCCACATTACTGTTAACTATATACATCAAACATGGGCGTCATTGACCAAATACCATGTCACTAAATATATGCACATTTGGGGAACAGAAACTGGAGTGGACATTTACCATCTGATGACGAACCTGAATGTTCTTGTAAGTTTTGAATTGAACAAAAACTAAAACCACTTAATTTACTGTTTCTTTAACCACAATTACCAGTGTCTTGATTTTTGCCATATCTATATAACATAACAATTCCTGAATAATTAATATACTATACTCATTGGAGGGCACTTATTATGATAATTGTAGTAAATATTTTCATTTAAATCAACCTACTTTAATTTTTTTTATTACTGCCTTAAATGGAAAATCAGTATTACACACCATAAATTAAAAACAAGCGCAGTCAAAACAAAGTCACTGACTTCTCTTGGAGGGTCAAAACAAAAATTAAATTTTTTTTTAAATAAAAAAGAGTGGCAAATGTTGAGAAGGGTTAAGGACAAAAGTATCAATGGAAATTTTTCTTTTCTCTTTTCTGTGTGTGTGTTTTTAAACAACCAGAAGGATTTAAAGTGATCAGAAAGAAATACAGTTCTCAATATGTGATTCAGAGTTATCTAATGCCATTCCCAGTGCCAAGGTTCCTACAGTTTAAAAAACATGGGCATAACTAAGAATATCACATTACAGATGAGGAAGCTAAGGCCCAAGGATTTCAGTTGCCCTCCAAGGCAAAATAAAAATGGTTGGACAAAGATTGGAATCCAGGTGTCGTGACTTTGTGGGTTTCCATCTCACTGTTTCCACTTCACAAAGTGACCAGTCCTCGGACTATGTGGTTTGTCTAGCTTCTCAGAAACAGCCAATCTATGGATCCCTTTACATATCTGGGAGAAACTGAGGCCACAGAGGGTCAAGAACAAGTTCAACTCCCTACTCACCCTCTCCGCTCTCCATAGATGTGGCAGATATCCAGGTGGAGGTCAACACAGCAAAGAAAGAAGGGAGGGTTGAGAAGAGAAAAGTGGATTCAGAGAGGGGAGGTTAGTAAGCGTGGGCAGACCATTCTCTAAATGAAAGCTTAAACTCAGTTTCCTTCCAAGAAGATAAAAATGGCTAATGAAAATCATGTGCTTCACAGTGAGTGGTAAGAGGAGCCCATCCTCTGTGTCCTCATGTCCCTATATGTCCACACTGGAAATCAGCAGGGGATCTCTTGTTTTAAAGTATACAATATTAACAGGCACTCTGAGACAAACCCACATTTGACCATTGAGTGGGTGGAAAAGCTCGTCAGAGAATGGGGAATGACCCCAGCTTTAAAAGTATTTTCCCCCACAACAAAACTTAAGAGGCTCAGAATTAAATCTAGAGACAATAGTGCTTTTTCTGTTTTTCTAACTGGAGAGTGGGACCTTAGTTACCAAGACTGCACTTGCTGCTTTTTTTAAATATGCAGTTATATAAACAAAAATAAATATGGCCTGCAAATATTTTTATGTTTTTCTAAATTGGTGCTTGTGAAAAGAGGTCGTGCATAACTGTACTGTATGAACATGGGTCCCAGTGGACTGTAATCCTCATAAACTACAATGTACAATAAAGCATTTGGCCAAGTATCTTCAATCCAAAAACCTGTTCTAATACCCTGAGCATTCACAGTGCAACGTTGGTACCTTGGAGACATGTAAAAGGAGTACGGGTGGCTCAACCCCATCTGCTACAGGTGCTAGAACAATCTACAGCCTTGCTATGCAAAATGAAATATGCTGACCTGCAGAGCACCACCTCCAGGTTATGTCAAAAATGCAGAATCTCAGGCTGTACTTCAGACCTAGTGAATCAAAATCTGTATTTAAAAAAAAAAAAAAAAAAATCAAGGCTGGGCAAGGTGGCTCACGCCTGTTAATCCCAGCACTGGGAGGCCAAGGCAGGTGGATCACCTGAAGTCAGGAGTTTGAGACCAGCCTGACCAACATGAAGAAACCCCACCTCTACTAAAAATACAAAATTAGCTGAGCCTGATGGTGCATGCCTGTAATCCCAGCTGCTCGGGAGGCTGAGGCAGGAGAATCGCTTGAACCTCGGAGGCAGAGGTTGGTGTGAGCCGAGATCAAGCCATTGCACTCCAGCCTGGGAAACAAGAGCGAAACTCCATTTCAAAAAAAAAAAAAAATCACCCAGCCAAGTCTCACACACATTCGAGTTGGACAAAGGTGATCTATAATACATGCAGCCCCTTCTTCAATAGGCTGCACCTCAATAATCTTGATAGCCTTAAACTATTTGTCAGGTAGTCCTATAAGCTATCTGCCATACATGATTCCCCAAACTGGCATCTTTTATAAACTTTGTTGGTTCCTTGTTTTTCAACCATGTGCAAAGTTAAGCCACTAAATCACCTATGTAAACCATGATTAATTCCTTTGACATTAATAGCAGGGTGACTTCTCTCTCCTGTTACCCCAAAGAGATTACTAATTGCCCTCCAATTGTTTACCTTTGTATTGTTTTATGAGAGCTCACAGAAAGATGGAAGATAGTCTCCACCAGGCCAGAAACAAATGCCAGACAGGTTTTGAGAAGGCTGAACACATGCTATGACTACACCTTGTTAGTAGAAGGGCTTTGCTTTCTTTGTTTTGTTTTCTTTTTTATGGAAGGGATGACGCCTCCATAATTATAGGTGCCGCTGTTTAAAACCCCGAGTGTTTTCCAAACCACTGAGGGGCCACACCTCCAACAGCACATGAGCTATCCTGGTTGAATTCTCTTTCCAGTTGTCTAAACAGTTCATCAAGCATTACTGGATTTACATTAAGCATAATGAAAGGAAGAAGGGGACCCTATTCAATGTGGCTTCTTTCTGAATAAACATGAAGGACCCACAGATAAACCTCACAGCTGAAGGTTAATTTGTATCTATGAAGTTCTCAGAAAGACTGTAGTGAAGGTGGGTCACCACCTAACAAGACAGCAGGTTGCTTTTGTAAACCCCCCCAAAAATAATTAAAACCATTGTTTTAATACTATCCTAAGGCGGTGTAATTAAGGCTCTGAGTGAGTAATTGTGTACCTGCATTCAAAATAAGATTTCACATGTAAAGCAGAGTTCTGATTGTAATCTCTGCGAAGTGTCTTGGCCTACATTTAGAATGCACAAGTGCAGTGCCAGCTGAGCATTACAATAGGCATTGTGCAGTGGAGCTGGAGACAGACTGAGTTTGTATGAGAAGGGAAACAAGCAGGTCTACCTACCTTCAGGAACAGTAAGGCTGTGTGTTCCAAACTATAGGAGATTTAAGGAGGGACTGAAGGATACTAAGCATGGCAGTATGTTGATGAGACATCTTAGCCATTAGCTTGGGATTTATTGAGTTTTTAAAAGTAATAGCTATAAAATTGCTATCAAAAGAAGCTTTCTTATTTCCCCAAGATGTCCATGAGCTATTTGTAAAATTTTAAAGCTATACAAAGATTAAAAATCTGATTTTCCCAAGGCTAGTATGACTCCTTTGGCCTTGGACTGGAGTTGAAGGTATTCATGTGGTCAGTGCTTAAAAAGGGTATATATACACATATATATATATGTGTGTGTATATATATATATATGTATGTATGTACATATATATACATATATATACACACACACACACGATAGATATAGACATAAATCTATATGTGTATGTATGCATAAATTTGTATATATAAGTATACACACTTCCATAGCTCTGTCCACTCAGAAACACTAGAAGCAATGAAAATCCAATAGCAATGAGCACACCTACCACCCAGATCTTGGTTTCTAAATACCTTTCTCCAATAAAATAAATCAGGGATCCTTGAAGAACTAGTTAATTCCAGGAGTGGGGTAGGGAAAATACAAAATAAGCCTGGAGCATCTTGTGGTGGCAAAAGATGCTATAAAAACCCAAAACATGGGGAGCAGGGAAGCTGTGTGGAGACTTACTCAAAGAGCATAGGAGCCAATCCCAGAGAGCTCCCAAATGCCCAAAGTTGAAACATTCTGATCAAGAAAAGAAGTAACAATAGTACTGGATTATAATCCACAGAATGAAATATATGAATTCATACTAACATGTATATATGTACACACACATATAAGTGTATATATCTATATACATCAACAAATGACACCTCTTCCTTCTGAAAGATGGGTAGGGCCCAGCAATCTGCATTTTAACAGTTTTTAACAGTGCTGCTGCTGCCACGGCCTATAGCACTCAATCAGGTAATTCTGGAAGGAAGGAGTCATAGGCATAGAGGCTGCAGCAAATTTGAGCCCACAGGCCTCAGCTGAAAGTGGCAGGTGCTATTTACCAGGAAAGCAAGCACAGGCCAGGAAGAGCTTTGGAGTTTTCAAGGGAGGCAAGAAATCAAAATCTTCCTCAGTTTTAAAATTCTAGATGGGCAAATCAAAACAGAGCTGCAGTGTCTGTCAAGGCCACTGTGCATTTGTATATATGTCACTCTTCTCTTTGCAGAAACTAAGTCCCATGTCAGTTTAGGATGATAGGGTTTGTTTTTCAAGTGAGCAGGGTGAAAACAATCAGAAGAGAAGAGAAACTTAGACAGTACTCTGACTTCCTCTTAAATTCCTTCCCAAGCATGAGTAAATCCCCTCAATCC